TGCAAACAACTTCAGTGATGATAGCGGCGACATTTGCACTCAGCTGTGATTGCTTATCGAAGACATTATTTTTAATAATTCCTGCTTACAAAAAATTGTCCTCACATAAGCGTTGTTTTGTTTAAATAACGATAAATACTGGCTGGAATAACGAGCACAACGCACTATTATACGTAAAAAAAATATAATCCGTCACTGACATTGACGTTTATTCGCGCGCTTTTCCTTGTCGATTTGTACGAGTAAATGTGTGTACGGAAACGTCCGCGCGCGGCGCGTGCACCGCGCTAGTGGTGTGCCCGATGCCCGGCAATTAATTGGATGCGTTCATTCTCGCCGGAGTCTGTGACCGATATTCGACGTTATTTCTGTGAGCGCGGACGAAGGCGCGGCGTGGCGTAACCGCACTAAAAACTAAAAGCAAATGCAATGTGCATTAGATAAATGAAGCAGATCTGACTACCGGACCTATACACGCACGTGTTCCAAACAACCAGGTCGCAATCCCCGACAACAATCTAAATCTACGAAATAACATCGCTATTTCATTACTTTTTTTTTTAGTTTTAGTCAACGGAAAACATAAAATCTTTTCCTTGAATGGGCTTCCTCTCAACTATACGTTCTACAGTGAAACAATGTTAGAAATGAAAACAATACGCAGTCGACGCAGCTGTGTTTTTCAACATAATAGAATTCCATATCACAATAATCGACAGATGATTGCATTACTACTACATTTATGACACATTTGAATACTTCTATTTTATCGCTACAAATGTATAAAATCATACTACCTTTCGCTCGTGACTTCGTCCGCGAATTAATAAAGAAAACAAAAGTAAGTAGCCTATATTTTCTTTCAGACTATCCTCTATCTATTCAAAATTCCAACGAGATCCGTTTAGCAGGCTACAAACTCTAACAAACATCCATCTAAACTTATAATATTATTACAATATCATTTATAATATTAAGATTTTACAGAAATATAACAAGAGCATCTTCACAAAATCTTGACATCCATACATTATAATTCCAATAACGTGACCTAATAACGTGCATACCATTAGCTAGAGAAAGTTGCGTAAAACGAAAGCTTTTATAACGGTAAAGATAGTATAGTCTTTTAATGCAAAAACGCACTTAAGATCTCCATAGATGATGAAGGTAAAACTGTTAATACAATTACGATACTGGCAACAAAACAACGATCAAAATACAAACAGAAAAAAAACTAAACAATAGACAATTCCGTTTAAGATAAGGGGACAACCCTAATTATGTCACATGTACCCAAAATTGCCTTTTCTCTTTCAATTTCGTTCATTATCAACTAGATTTTGCCCGCGACTTTGCCGGCGTGAAATTTAAAAGGAGACAATATATATTATAGCCTATATTACTCACTGATAACGTATCTTTTTAATGGTGAAAGAATTTTTGAAATCGGCCAAGTAGTTTTTGAGTTTTATCAATACATACAAAAATACAAAATTCTCTTTATAATATTAGTATAGATTTCTATTGTACATACAAAGTGTTGAAACCTACAAAAGGAACCATTGTTTTATGAGAAAAAAGTGTGTTTGGAAATTTACACTAATTAACATCGATTTAAGGGCTCGCAAGATATACCGTGCAGTAATTGGGAACCTCTAAACATACAATGTCTTCAAAGCATAAAGCATTTCATTCATTGGGGAAATTAAGGGCCTATCCTACCATTGGTAGACGCTCAGACAGGTTAAAAATGACGTCACTGTCAGATAATATAGCAAAATGTATTCCATGACATATTTTACACGTTGGATTATCAGACAATTTACAATTTGGTGGGACAGGCCCAATTCTCATTCATTCAAACAACAAAATAAAAATAAAAGTGTTGCTTACTTTTGGCGCGGCTGTCGTTTAATTTTTGAGGTTAGCTGTCAACAAAATCAAGAAACGATTTTAACGCGTAGTGCAATTTTATTCGCATTCCTTAAAATATAACAATAACAAATTCTGACGGGTTATTTTAATTAATTTCCAGGTTCATATACAATTATATAAATGTTTTTTAACATTTACACATCAATGGTCGTAGTCTGGGACGAATTAGGCTCCATTTAGCGTAATTAGCGAGAGCGGAGTTTAAATTGAATGAATTGACTTTAGTGGGCGCAGCTGACGTTCATTTAAACGAACTCATAGTCAGTATCACATTGTTGAGATCTCTAGAGAGAATTGTAGGAAGTTTTGAACTTCAAATACGAACATTTTCCTATCAAAATCATATTATAAAATTAATCGTGGCTGTTATAATGCGTTACAGAGTCGAGGGACATCTCTAATGCTTCGTTCACACTAGGCCAGTAATTAAATCGAGTATCAAAGTATTTTTTTTTATAACATAAGGTGGCAAACGAGCAAGCGGCCACCTGAATCCACCGAAATGGAAAGCGACCACTGCTCATAAACATCCGCAATTGCAGATGCGTTGCCTACCCGTAATTGACTGAGGAGAAGGCGCATATAAAGAGGACATTTTCCCTTCTTATGCGTCTCCTCCACCGTCAAATCCACTTTTCCTTCCCATCCTGTCCTCTCAAGAAAAGAGTGGAAAGGGAAAGGGATTAAAATTTATTTATTTATAAATTCATTTTCTCGGTAAAGAGCGGGCGCATACCTTTTACTATCACTAACAGTTGTGCGATTGTCGATTGTTTTGCAGCCAATTCAACTGTTTAGTTGCACAATTAAAATTGAGTAGTGTACCTCTATAGCTCATAGGAATCAAAGTGCGACAAAACAATTGTGTGATTTAGTCAATGGCGAGCTCTTCATTTTTGTTATTAACACGTTTAGTTACTACGTACGTACAACGAATTGCAGACCGAAAAGCACAACACAGACATATTTTGCACCTTCATACATAATTTTAAAAAACACATATTCTCACATTCAGAGGCACAGACATAGGACTTGGTTTTAGCTAATCCCTTTTTTTTCTTATCTTGTTTGTTCCACATTTTCTGTAACCTAACCGTAATTTTTTTTTCTCTAACAATGTTGTATACCTATAACTGGATTTGTTATCATTCTTGGGTCTTATATCTTATTTCTTATATAAGTGTTCTATAACTTATCTGTTGGTGTACTTTATAAATAAACGAGCTGTGCCCGCGACTTCGTCCGCGTGGTATTAGAAAACATACGAACTATATAAATTAAAAAAAGCTACGTATCCCTTGGGAACCGGACATTTCTCGGGGATGAAGCTTATCCCATGTGTACTCCAGACTTTGTTTTATATCTGTGCCAAATTTCAATAAGATATGTTGAACCGTTGCAGAATGATCGAGTAAACATTAAAAAACTAAATTAATGAATCCCACGGGAACCGTTACTATTCCTGGGATAAAAAGTAGCCTATGTGTTCTTCCAGACTATGCGCTTAACCTGTGCCAAATTTTATGAAGATCCGTTCAGCCGTTTAAGCTACAAACGCTAACAAACATCCATACATCCATCTAAACTTTCGCATTTATAATATTAGTAAGAAGTAAGATAAATAAATATATAAATAAATAAATAAATAGATGTCGCTTTTGTCATCCAGAGTAAAAATCATTATCTTATTGTGTCAAAAGTTGCAGGTTAACTGCAGTTCGATAAAGTGGTACATTTAAGCTTGCTAAACATTTGGCGAGGTCAACCGCAAAGGTTACAAGATAAACTTTATATCAACAATTTAAACAAAATTTGCATAAATTTAAGCACAAATACACTATTACTATCATATTAATTTAAACTTTTATACTAATGCTAGCTTTTCCCCGCGACTCCGTCCGCGCGGAGTTAAAAAAAACAAATGCAAGTAGCATATG